ACTTAGGTTAGGTTAGGTTATGTTATTACTTATTACCTGGAAATAACGTCTATATGCTCCAATCCCTAAATAATGTATATATGTGTGACGTTCGCGTAACCGCGAGGCATTGGGTATGGCTGGCGTACGCAAAATAATGGTAAAAAATAAAGGCAAAAGCAATGAGACCAAGGAAGAGGCAGCGAGAAAAAGAATGTGGAAAATGAAATAATAATAATAATATAATAATAATAATAATAAAACGATAGACCAAAACCTACAATGAAAGTAGAAAAAAAAAACATAAAACGATAGACCAAAACTTACAAAGAAATATCCTCTTATTCGTCTCTCGTTTCCAGAGGGAGGGCGAAGTATTCCAGCGGCTGAAGATGCCAACCTTGCCGGCCACAGTGACACTGGAAGGCTCAGGGCAACCACAGTATTTCTTCCTTCAGCAACCCGAGCCCCTCTTGGTGGTGCATCCCCCTTCCACCACCCGCCCGGTTTCCCCGAGGCCGCCACATCCTAGCACCACGCCGATGTCAGGTATGTGTTTAGAGTTCGAAAAGGGTATGAAACAGAGTAGCAGTATGAGGAAAACAACTGTATTCATAGTCGCTTCACACCCGACTTTCGTTTTTGTCAATGTCAAAGTATTCATAAAGCTCCCGACTACCTTTCCTTGCTACCTTTCACCACACCATTCAGGAATAGCTTCTCACACATTTCTTGCTGATGTATATTAAAGATTTCAGAAATTATAACTAACATATACTAATGACTCGTCCCAATATACATTCATAAAGAACATTTATTTTGCTTGCATATATATGGGCATATGTAAGCCTGTGTATGTGTAATATCTGTCTGTCTATATCTATCTGCTTAGGGGTAATTTTAAGTTTGTTATCAACCACCGGCAGAGAAAGTAACCACATCCATCCATTCTTTACAAAGAAGTAAATCCGTATCTTTCAATTAGATAAATAAGAACATTCAGACAAGAAAGTTGTCACGACTGAATAGGACTCTACAAAGCTGGCAGATTTATTAATAATGTTGCTAACCCTGATCTAACCAGAGGGTCTAAATACGACAGTAGTATCTGTTATTTAACATTTCGATAGTCGAGTTTTACACTTTCCTGAAATGCACTGACTGTGAATACGAATATAGCAACATTCCCGACCACAGTATCGCCTACAGCGTCATTTTCAATTAACACGCGGCTCCAACACTATGGGCTTGTGATCATTTTCCCAGTATCCATTCCTTGCGCCAATCAATGGCACTAATATGACAATAACCTTGTCTTTTGGAATACGACCATCTTGTAGCCTGCGTGGTCTGAGCAGCCTGCACATGGCTGGAAGGCCAGGCTTTGAGTACTCTGTCGCTCTTGTTACCAAGGATGCGATGAAGGCAGTGCATGTGAAAGCTGTTCAGTTCCGCTCTTGGTTGGCATATGTCTCACTGCCGTACAGGAGAGTGCTGATGATGCAGGCCTATAAACTGCCATCTTGGTTGGAGCTGCCAGCTTTTGTCTCCTAAATGGGTGGCTGGTTAGCCTAGGTTAGTTGCCAATGCACTTGTTGATCTCTATAAGGTACAGAATGTCAAACAACGGTCACACTAGTCTTCTCTGTCAGGGGAAATGGGGATTTTCTGTCGAATTGGGATTTGGTCACTGTGCAGCGCCCCATCCTCTGGAGAAACGGCCTTCCAGAAAAGACCAAAATGACTACAATAACCCTTGATGAACTACATATCGAAGATAGGCGTGGATTCTATAAATATCATTGATTGAAAATAATTGAGAAAGAAGAAAATAACAAGAAAAGCCAACCCACCTGTTTTAATTATCATCACACAATTGTGCTAACTACCCTGATATACCATATTTCAGCAGAAATAGAAAATCCGACAATATTCTTTCATCATATACCACTATTATTGTGATCTGTAATGTACAAGAGACGCAATTATGGACTGAAAATAACTAAATTTGGGAGGAGCAGGTACTTTGAAACAGAGTAAAATAGTCGCCAATCATACACCGTGCAAAGTTGATTTCAATTATTTATTTTTGTTAACATTTTTCTATCATGATATTTGTGGATGGTATTCATGTAGGAGCGTGTGTGTTTGTATATCTTGATCAATCTTTACAGTTATAGTGAGTAAATTATACTACACTTTTTGCATTGGTATCGCCTTTCCCTCTCTAGTTGGGGCAAAACAGCAGTGCCGCTCTTCCCTTCATGGCTGGGGAAGCAACCTGTTACGGGATCCCTGGAAAGAATAGACTAGTTTGGCCTTTAAGTAGGTGGACTGATGGTGAGTCCACATTTACCCTCAATATGCTGATGGTCAGTCCGAAGTCCTGGGAAAATCCAACCACATATATAACTATAATTTTATCATTTTAGTTTTAAAATATATTTGATATTCAAAGTACACCTCACTGTGGTATAAATAACACAGTATATATTTATATACACGGCACACCTTACTGTCA